GATCATGACCTGAGCCGAAGGCAGTCGCTTAACCAACTGAGCCACCCAGGCGCCCCTCCAGCTGCCTTCTTGTCCACTGCTTTGATGACACCATTTAAGTTTAACAGTAAAAGACTGGTTAATGCTAACAATGCATTGTAGAACCAGGGACAATGTTTTGGGAACCATTTGGGGTGTGTGTGTGTGTGCTTGGGAACCATTTGGGGTGTGTGTGTGTGTGTGTGGCAGTTTTAGGTTATTAGTTTTTAAAATCAGTACTTTTTAATGGAAACAACTTGACCAAAATCTGTCACTGAATTTTGAGACCCATTAAAAATGAAAGTTTAATGAGACAAAAAAACCCAAAAACCCACAAATGGCCGATGAATTTAATCAGTTGTGCCTATGTAATGGAACCTCCCCAGAAACCCTAAAGGACAGGGTCCAGAAGAGCTTCAGATTGGTGAACACATCAAGGTGCTGGGAGAGGGATGTGCTCAGAGGGATGGAAACTCCACATCCCTTGCTCTATGCATCTCCTCCCTTTGGGTGTTCCTGAGTTGCATCCTTTACAATAAACTGGCAATCTAGTAAGTAGTGTTTTCCTGAGTTCTGTGAGCCATTCTAGCAAGTTATCGAACCTGAGGAGGGGGTTGTGGGTACCGCTGATGAGCAGTTGGTTAGAAGTGTAGGTGACAACCTGGGACTTGTGATTGACACCTGAAGTTGGGGCAGTCTTGTGGGACTGAGCCCTTAACCTGCGGAGTCTGCACTAACTCCAGGTAGTGTCAGAAGTGTTATGATCAGAGGAGACAGGTTTTTCAACAATATACTGATTCATTTCTGTAACTAGTACTGTGGGAAACTTTATACATATAACCAAGGGACATTCTGCAAAATAGCTGACCAGTATTCCTCAAAATTGTGTAGGTCATCAAAACCAAACAAGTCTGAGGACTGTCACAGCAAAGAGGAGCCTTTGCAGGTATGACTAAGTATAATAGGATATCCTGGAACAGAAAAAGATAAAAAATAAGAAAATCTGAATAAAGTATGGGGTGGCAAAGGATTTGAATACAATTCTCCAAAGATATACAAATAGCCAGTAAGCACATGAAAAGGTGGCCAACATCATGAGACACTGGGCAAATGCAAATAAAAACCACTTCATTACCCACTCGGATGACAGGTACTAACAGACGTTAGCAGTTCAAGTGGAAAAATTGAAATCTCATACACTGCTGGTAGGACTATAAAATGGTGCAGTCTTTTTGGAAAAGTTTGGCAGGTTTTCAAAAGATTAACACTTACCATGTGACCCATTCCTGGTATAGATCTAAAAAAATTGTAAATATGTCCGTACAAAAATTTATACATGAACATTCATAGCATTATTCAAATGGAAAAACCCCCAAATGACCATCAACTGATGGATGGGTAAACAAACACAGGGCATTGCTAGCTACACAGTAGATTACTTGACAATAAAAATGAAGTACTGATCCATGCTATGACAGGGATAAACCTTGAAAACATACTAAATGAACAGCTTACACAAGGCCACATGATGTTATGACTCCATTTTATACAAAATGAAACTAGGGTAGTCCCTGTACTAGGGGCTGGGGAGTGAATGCTAATGGATTTGGGTTTTTTTTCCTGGGGTGATGAAAATGTTCCGGAATTAGATAGTGGTGATGGTGGCAAACTCTGTAAGTACACTGGAAACCACGGAGTTCTACACCTTTTTTTAAAAGGCAGATTTAATGGCACAGGAGTTACTTCAATAGTTGGTAAAAAGATCCTCTGTGCGGCTGCTACTGCACAAGCTGATTCTGCAAAGCAGAACACAACCGAGTGCAGTCACAGGTCTTAACGGGGTTGGATTCTCCTTCCGTCTGGCTCTCACTACGGCCAGGACACCTGGGTAGAATTAAAACAAAGACTACACTGAACAACTCTAATGTTTTATAAACCTTTATTGGAAAGGCTACAAACTTTATATTGCCACTGCATTTCTTACCCTTGAAGTGGTTATGGGGAAGTAACCTTGGATACAAAACTAGGATGCTGTTGAACCTTGCCCAGGCTGGTTGTAAAGTATTTTTTGTACAATGGAGGTAGAGAGGACAGGGCAATAATTTTAACCTCACAGGCCTTGATTAATGCCAGGACACTTCCCACTCCCCCCTCCCGCCCCCCACTCAGGTTCTGGTAGACCTAGAAATAAACTACAAGTACTGTGTTTAGGCTCAGGGATGGCATAATACATTTTTAAATTTTAGCTTTCAGTTTTCCCTGTTTGTTCTTTTACAGATGTAAAACGTACAACTAATGTCTCTTTTCCCTAAAATTCCAGTGTGTTCTATAAAGATCTACTCTGGGAATGAAAAGAAGGTAATAGAAGATGGAAAGAAGAGCGACACAACAACCTCTTCATAGTAGTTTTACCTGATTTTTCTCATACCAGCCTGAGTCTTTTCTATAAAACATTAGTAATCAGTGCTTCCCCCAATCTCAAATATTCAACTTAATGGAGACAGAGAATCTTTAACTTAACATTTAATGAAAACAGAGCATTTTAACAGGTTCTTTGCAGACATGGTTCTAATATTGATTTGCTGTTACCTTATTTTTAAAAGGGGGTGGTGGTGGGGAGATACAGAGGCTAGATTAACCTGGCCCCAACGCTCAGGATCATAACTTACGAGTTACATAACTCTGATGTCCTTGACTGTACAAAGCATCAATTGAAGCCAATAAAGCCTGTTTCTACCAACATATCAAACTTTCTCTTTGCCTTTTAAAACTATAAAATGGGCACGTACCTGAGGCATAGGCTTCAGGCCAATGGGTTTTTAAGGGCTGCTTAAGAACCAGAATGAAGGATACATTCTCCAGCTTAAGGATACATTTTACAGTTCAAAGTATGTTCTTCCTTCTAAAAATGTGACACAAAGAATAATTTATACCAACTGCTTTTTATTATCGAGTTTCAGAAACCTTTCACAAGATGGTAAAAAAAAAGGGGGGGGGAAGGACTTTACAACCACAGCTAATGTTATTTTTTTCTCCATTGTTCCCAGTCAGCTCCAAACCCATTGTGTGCAAAGCCCATTTTTCCATGCATCTAAACGATAGATACAGGCTATGAAATTCTTTATTCTATTTGTAGCAGCTTATGCAGGTGCAGCCAAACACAAAGCTTCAGGACAAATTGTACACAAACTTTACAATGTGGGATTTGGATTTAAAATATGAAACATAAAATCTACACAAAACTGATAAAAATCAAGCACAGATACCAGGACTGAAACTTATAACCCATGTGTGAAAGGGAGTCTTGTTTCCTTTCAAGTGCTTTATTCTGCTACAGAACAGTCAAAATGAAGATGTAAAGCTTTGTGGTTAGTTTAAATTATACACTCTGTAGATACTATACCAATTTTAAAAGTTACACATAGACCAACAGATGTCCATCAGTTCCTCTGGATTGACCAGACACTCCAGCTGGATCGATGAAAGCAAACCGGGCAAATGTGGAAAGAAAATCCACCTGTGCAATTTGTTTGCAGAGTTTACTGATGGGCACATTGCACTCCTGGTCCATGATGGCTGCTGCTTTCTTCATCAGAGCTATCGTTATAGGCTTCACGCCTCTGACCACCTCCCGAGCCCCGAGTGCTATCAAATTCTTGAAGCTCTACCTCCTCTGTGTCTCCAATTATGTTTGGAACTTCTGGTCTAGATGGCAGAAGATCTTCTAGCTCCTTTATGAAAATCAAAACAAAACAAAAAGGTTAGTTTGTGAGCTATCTTCAACTTCCCTTTGGATACAATCTAAGGTATATCCAAGGTATATGCTTCTTTGAGAGTTAAAATAGATAAATATAGTGCACTTTAAACCAGAGATCACAAACTAATGACCCACAGATCAAATATGCAGACATCTTTTGTAAAACCCAACCACTGCTTAGAAAACAAAAGACCAGAAGTAGCTGCCAACATTTAAACGCTGGAAAATTTTACAGAAAACATGCCTTCCTGCATGGAAGGACTAATGCTAAGCTTTCGAAAGGCTGCCTCTTTAGGGGAGGGATCTGGTGTCCAGGGAGTCCCAATCCTTCCACCACCAACTTACATCCAGTCTGCTTTAATTCTTTACTATTCCCTGCTTGGCATCATCAATATTTACACCAGCAAGATTTGTTTTTGTTGTTATTTTGTTTTTTAAGAGAGAAACAAAGAGTGTGGGTGGGGGGAGAGGGAGAGAGAGAACCTGAAGCAGGTTCCACATCCGGTGAGGAGCCTGACATGGGGCTTGAAATACAGTTGGATGCTTAAGCAACTGAGCCACCCAGGCACACCAAGCTTTGCTTTTAATAATCACCAGGACAGCCCAACAATCACTCAAATGTTAAAAAATCTTAGCACCCAAAACAAATCAAAGGTGACAAACACCTCACTATTAAACTTTAAGTAATTTGTTGCTTATATTTAGAGAGAACACTTACAGAAAGCTTGTCTGGGTTGATCCAGTTGTTTTCAGGAAACTGCACATCAAACTTTATGTAGAGATCACCTTTTTCAAAGGGATTACGATACTGTGGCATTCCTTCCCCTCGAACTACACGGACACATCCTATTATTTGAGTAAGTAAAAAGGAAATTATTAGAATTTTACCCAAGAAGAAAGGTGCTCAATAATTCTTTTGAGAGTCACCTACTATAAAAAAATTACAAACTGGAAAAAAAAAAACCCAACAACGAAAACAAAACTACATGGAATCCTGGATTAGACAAAAATCAAGATTTACCTGGTTCAATTACTTTTCCAGGGGGGTATTTCACCACAATCTGACGTCCATCAAGGTGCTTAAATGTGAACTGAAATCCACATAGAGCTTCAACAAGTCCTATCTTATATGTCATGTGCAAGTCATTCCCATCTCTCTGAAACACCTACAAATAAAGCATACAAAACACATTTAAAAAAAAAAAAATTATGAAGCCATACCCTGTTGTGCTGTGTTCCTTGAAATGATTTCAAAACCTTAATTCTACCATTCATTGTAAAAGCCAAACTGTTGTCATCCCTAATTCCCTAAATTTATATAAAGAAACCTAGCTATTCTCATGTAATATACTAGAAACACCTATCAGAAAAGCATTGGGAGGAGCACCTGGGTGGCTCAGTTAGTTAAGCATTTGCCTTCAGCTCGGGTCCTGATCCCAGGGTCCTGAGATCAAGCCCTGAATTGGGCTCCCTGCTCAGTGGGGAGTCTGCTTCTCCCTCTCCTTCTGCCCTCCCCCCTGCTGGTGCACGCTGTCAAATGATTAAATAAAATCTTAAAAAAAAAAAAAAGGAAAGGAAAGCATTGGAATTGAGAAAACTGGCTCTAATAAAGCATAGCTCAGGCTCCAAAAAACAGAACCAGAGATATTCTGCAACTGTGGCTCATTTCCTGACCCTGCCTCTGAGCAAAAAAAGGTGTAGACAGTCCAGCAGGATTCTGTAGAAGAGGTTCATCTTGGAAGTGCTCCCCAGACATGACTGTAACAGGGGAAGGGGAGAGCCCAAGTTCAACATAAAAAGCTCAACCACTAAATGGGCTCAATATCATGCTTTACACATGTACAAGTAAGTATGACCTCACCTAAAATTCAAAATTTGCTTAGATGAATATAAATCAAACAGCAGTGCCAACAGTGACTAATTACAATATTAGTCTATGGCTTAGGTAATGCAAAGATTATTCAATAAACATCAAGTGTATTTCTGAGCTTTCAACGTGTAGGAAAAATACATCCAATTTCACACATACCTTACTTATAGTTTTTGCTTATTAGAATTTACAAATATCTATACTTCGCTTTTGAAATTTAAGATGAAACAAAACTGCAATGAAAGGTCACCTAGATTTTTTTCAATACAAAATAGTCTCTCCTCCAAAGAACAAAACAGATGAACATAAGGGAAGGGAAGGAAAAATAAGACAAAAATAGAGAGAGAAGCAAACCGTAAGAGACTCAACAAGAGGGAAGAAGATTGCTGGAGGGGAGATGGGATAATGGGTGATGGGCATTAAGGAGAGCACTTGATGTAATGAGTATTGGGTGCTATATGCAACTGATGAGGGGCGCATGGGTGGCTCAGTCGTTAAGGGTCTGCCTTCGGCTCAGGTCATGATCCCAGGGTCCTGGGATCGAGCCCCGCATCGGGCTCCCTGCTCGGCGGGA